GCAAATTTATTTCATTTGTTAAGGGCAGTTTCAATTTAGCAAGCTTGATTGATTATGCCATTGAATTGAGTAAGATACCTTGGATGAAAATCCTGGAGTGTTGTAAGTTTTACAGGAAGTAATCTGACTCCCTTGAGTGCTGCTGTGCGCCAGGTTTGTGAGACTATCTCACTGAAGAAAAAAAAATATAAACTGAAGTCTGTGGTTTTAGACCCACTACATCTATGATACAATAACAAGGTGAAACCAAGCCCACAAACCGTTCAAAGTAGAAAGTCATTACATTTTCTTGTCCTTTTGTGGCCACAAAGATCACTGGTTTTAAAACAAGCCTACAGTGTTATCCTCTCACTTTTATTCCCATCTGTAATTATAACTAGCAGTTTTTCTTTTAAATACAGAGGAAAAACCCAATTCTGCCACAGGAAGCATTGCTTTCTATGAAGTCTCAGGTTTTAATTTGCCCTGAGGGTTGAAAATGAAGATATTTGTTCGATGCAGGACTTCTGCCATGCACGGCTCCTGTAAGCCTGCTTCTGATGTAGTCCAGCAGTCAGCTGAACATTACTAATGAAGATCGCTACATCATTCATTCACGGGCTGGGAAGGGAAATACTCCTGCTGACTCATGCTTATAAGTATTTTTCTTGCTCCGCCTCCATTCGTTTCAGCTCCTCCTCTCCTCTCTTAGTGCTGGTAGCCTACTATATTGGCATTTTCAGAAAGGTCTCACTTCTCATCGGATCTGCTGCTAAAGGTAAGGAGCCTGTAATTAAATGTAGAGAGTTTTGTCTGGCATACTCCTACATTGCTTTCTGAATATCACAGGGGTGTTTTTAGAAAGGTGTTATTTTTATGTACCCTAAAAGTGATTTTTTTTTTCACATACTTTAATGGTGTTTGTGGGGTAACAGGCCTGGCATGCAAGAGTGATAAAGCAAGTGGAGGGGGAAAAATAAACTTCTGAAACTTGTAGGCAAGTGTAAAATGTAAAAGCTAGTGAGATTTCTGGGGTTTTTTTAAAAGCATTAATGAATTAAATTTTTAAAATTGCTGGTGAAAGGAATGGATTGATGAAGAAAAGCTTAAGAAAACTGTTGCATTTGTGTTAGCGTTGTTCTTGTTTAAACCTGAGTGACATGATAGTGCTTTCAGTCTCTTCCGTTAGTAGTATATACTGAGCACGCTGCTCTCTTGAGCTCTTCCCATGTACTGTACAGGCCACGCTTGGTGGTCTTTACTTGAGCCAGAGTCTCATTGACGTTACAGGGAGAGCTACTTGCATATGGCTGATGTAGTTTGGCTTTTTATTTCTGCTAAAGATCATTTAGTGTCATTGTCTTGCTAAATGCATCTTTGATTTTTCTCTTACTCACTTAAAACCCCTTTCAGTTGAGCAGCCTGGAAATACTAGGGGCCACGCCGACCGACCTTATGTGAGCTGCAGTCCCTCTAGGCTTCAGCCTGTGTCAGGAAGGTATGCAGAGTTTGGCCCAGAGGAGCTGGGTGCTTTCCCAAGCCAGAACAATTATGTAACATCACATAGACGCTGGAATGCTTTGGAAGCAGCCAGGAGATAAATTGTGGAGCTTGCAGCATGCTCGCAAATGAAGAGGAGGAAAGAGACACCCATTTAAAGTAGGAAGCCTTGAGCAGGAGCCAAAACAAGGCTCAGTGTCACGCAGCTGAGTACATGTGAGTGCCCAGCAGCCTACTCTACATAACAGGAGGGTGAGAAGAGCAGTCGTGGGTTTCTTGCTAGCTCAGGCTTTCTCCTGCTGTTAACTAGTTCTGTATAGATTTGAAATGAACTTCAGTGTCCTGTATGCTTTCCAATAGCCTCTGCAAGAACAGGCTTTTACCTCCTACACTGGATTAACTGTACAGGTTATCAAGGTATGTGTGGTCCCTTGACTCCAAGATTGGGGGGAAAAAAAACAAATCCACCTTTACTTCTAATGGCAGGAAAAGTGTATGTTTGGCCTGCAACTGAAATGTCTGAGATGCTCTGAGCTCCATTTTACCCCCAGAAGCCAAACATTTACCGGATGGGCATAGCTATAAAGACGTTCAGCATCTGGTTCACTTTCTTCTTAAAAAGAAGAATTATTGGCTATGAATTATAGAGATGGCAGCTATAGGATGCGGAAGGGGTATTCTAGGATAAACAGAAACATCTCTGATGGTTAATCTTGTGTTGATAGAGTTGTCCAGTGTCCAAACTTCAGGAAACAAAGCGCGTAACTTTGGTCATTATAGGGTTTTATGAACCCAGATCCTGAATAAAACCGTGGCTAAATATGGTCATGTATGTGCACAGATACAGTAATTTTATCAGAATAACAGTTGTGCTACTCTAGCCATTAGGGTTTGGTTTAATTCCAGCAAATGCTCCTGTTTCACAAGTCAGAAGGTGCAGAATGGAGGAGGAGGGTGAAATGAGGAGAGCATTATCACTGGAGCCCGTGGCTGCTGGCTTTGTCCCTATCAGGGTGGGGTAGGGTGGCATAGTGCAATGGCCAGGAGCCAAGGCAGCCTTCCTCTAAAGCAAACAAGGCTGCCAGGCTGAATTCTACCGTCTCGTGCCTTTTTTGTCCCCTTCAGGCTCCCCTAGAGAAATGCTGGCACGCAACAGCATGACTTTGCGCCCAAGTCTTACAAATGGGCTTGCAGTCTCGTTATTTATATGCTGGCTTTGCTGCTCCCCTGGAACTGTTGCCATGTGCTGTACTGGGTTGTTTCAGCAGTCCTTGCTTCCAGCAAAATCCCAGGGATGTTGCTGGGTTACCACTGTCTACAGAGCGTGTACAGTCTTTCTGTGCATGCTGCTGCAGACTGCTGCAGAGCAGAAATCTGGACGGTCGCTTCCAGCGATCTTACTTCCCTCTTCCAGATTCCCAGTAGTTTCACAGAAATAAGATGTGCACTCTGTGTTAGAAACAATTAATAAGAACTTGCCTTCTTGTTTAGTACAGCCATGGAGGGGGATTTATTTGTTACCATGGAGAAGAAACCTCTGCTAATCTTCAGGCAGGTACTATGGTTTAGCTGGTTTGAGGGAATACCTTACTGATCACACCAGTATCCTACTCCTTGTATGTCTAGCCATCCCAGGTGCTAGAGCTGAGTTCTACAAACTGCAGCTGTGGGGCTTTGTGGAAGGGAATTATTTGGGGGTAAATTTACACAACAATCTGCTGAAGGTGGTGCAGGTTTTGGTTCATGTGGCAGAATCCACTCAAAAGACTGGGGGAATACTTGGACGGTGAGGCTGTGCTCCTGCAGCTACCAGGGTTGGGTTAAATATGCCTTAAGGGGTCAACGCACGCCTTGGTGCATGGTCCATGGTATGGACACAACACAGGGAAGTGTTCATCTTCTATAAGGTACACGTCTACCTTTGAGACTCAGTTAAACTGGAACCCAAATCCCAACTCTCTTCAAACCTAGGTGCTTGAGATGACTCTAAATCAGAAAGCGTGACTATTATTTCTTTTAAGTGGTTCTTCCCTTCTCAAGCAAAATGCATGAGAGTCTTAGACTAATGCTTAATGAAGTGGTAACAGGCAACTGGTAAGTGTTACTAAACTGTGATCCAAACACTTGGACGAAGCTGCTAATTTTTAATTCAACTTGTAAGCCTTATGTGGCTCTACTTGGGTGAACCCAGTCCTCTTGGAGCAGCTTTGTCTCGCCCAGCGATGGCTGTGTATTGGTGTATATGCGAGATGGCACATCCACGAAGGCAAATGCACTTACAGGATTCAGCCTGAAGCCTGGGATTCTGCAAATCCTGAACTCACCTGTGGTTTTCTGGCTGCCCACTCAATCACCAGGGTCTTGCCGTGTTACTGTAGGTGCTGGTGATGTAAATGTCAGGCTTAAAGTGGAGCATTACGCTTGCAGGATGACATTTGCTGCAATACCTGTGTCAAAGGCAGTGATGTGCCAGCCCTTCTGGGAGCGTGCAGTGAGCTTGCCAAAGATCTTTCTGTGCTTGAAAAGGGTGTGGAGAGCATGCCCGGCTGAACAAAGTCATGCCATTCAGTGAGCTTTTACTTAGCTTTCCGGAATGAAAGTCTTTTTAGAGCAGACTGTGTTCTCTGTAGAATGACTTAAAAGCTTATGCTGAATTTCAAAAATTTCACTTTTGCTGTGGTAAAAATGACTTTTTAACTTCTCTAGATTAGTGATAATATAGTGGAATTCCCTGGAAAATTGAAGAAGTGATTATTTCACGTGGTAGGATTCCTGCAGCAATGCAAAAACCTTCAATTCACTGTTCACTGAATATCTGCACAACAGTCAGATGAGTTTTGTAGATTCCACTATAATGACACCATGGTCTCCAAGACAGTAAATCTATTGTATGTTTTGTTTAAAGGCTTGTTGTTATTTAGTTGTACAGACCTAACACTCTCTGTTTTCTGGAAAATTAAGAAAGAAAGTTCAGGAACTAAACTAGCATTTCTCAAAAAACCCTTTAGTGATGGCATGGCACATGTTTGAAAATGCAGCCAAGAAGTTTCCAGTCTTTGGGCAGAAGTCTTGATTGAGGTTGGCTCTACCTATCCATAAACGCACACATTGCTTTAAAAAGTACAAAGCATGAATGAATGGGTTCATGATAATTGTGGCAATAATATTTTTCTACACAGTATGGGCAGAAGCGAAGTTTTCTTTGACAAGCTACAACACGTTACTGTAGTCAGAGGACTGCTGGAGTTTCCAGCTGTTCTGGAGGGCCTGGAATTTGTGCGTGGAAGAGAAAGATAAGGGTCCTCTCCCTTTTTTATGGTATAATCAGGGAATGATCCTTTGGTTTTGGGAGGCAGGAGGAGAAAAAGATAAGCAGGCCTGTCCTGAGTGTGGAAACATAATGTGATGGTCTGCAATGCAAGGATAATGCTTTAGATCAGCCTGGGCTTGTAGGCTGTAGAAAGCCATGTGTTTTGTCAAAAAGCAAGCAATTCAAACCTTACTTGTCTTGACAGGTAGGCTCCAGGACCTAATGCTTCCAGACGAGAAGATGTGTGCATTGTTGAACAGACCCCAAAACAAGAGTGGGTTCAAGCCACTGCCTGTCGTGATCATAGGTAAGTTTCCTCCTGCCAGCGTTGCTGTTTTCTCTAGTGATGTTGTTTCTTTGGGCTTGCTGGTCTCAGCTCTTGTGCCACGTATTCTTACTCAAGCCAGAAATGCCTGGCCACTGTTTCTGCCTCCTTTCCCTGACAGCCAAACTTCCTCCAGTATGAAGAGAAAGAGCACTCAGAGTGTTGGGAAGTAGGAAACCAGGTATTTGACAAAATAAAACGCATATCTCTTTTTTTATTATTTTTTTAAATAGAAAAATTGGTAACCTTTTGGGCATTAGTTCAGCTGGGCCTGTTTTTTCTCTGTTGGAGATTTAGAAGGGTTTGAAACCTTTTCACTCAGATATTTAATCAACTTGCTGTGAAGTGATTATCTGTAGTGCTCGAATTGGAGGTGGCTTTGTGTGATCTTTTTTTTCCCATTGCGTGTGTTTAGAAAGTGCTTCAGATGCTGTTAAAGTTTCTTGAAATTTTTTCACAGATTTCTTTTAAAATGCAAGTCAGCTACACTGATTTTATACAGCTTTAATAGAATGGTAAAAAGCTGCGGGTTTTCTACCTGTTTAGAAAAGTGACTCTCTTGCCCCCCTTGCAAGAAGGGAGCCTTTGGAGTGCGAGGTGGTTCTTGGAGCAAAGCATGAGCAGTGATGTCAGTGCCTTCCCCTCTGACCGATCATGGGCTGTGTTGGACCCCGTTCATTGGAGCGTGGGTTTAGGTGCCTTGCAGAGCTGGGTTTCTTCCTCAGCTGTTATCTAGTTTATAGCCCTCAAGAGAGCTAGTCCAAAGTTAGCGCACCACTTAAATCACACGTAATCCTTGCTGGCAGCGAGTTTGACAAGGACACTACTGCCAGCAGGTTCTAGTCTGAGAGCGGCTCTGTACTGCCCGGTTGCACAAGCCATTGGGTGGAAGGGAGGATGTTTTGGTACATCCCTCGTGCAGCTCTGCAGGGACCCAGTGCGGACACATCCCCAAAGCCTCGGAAGCACCGCTGTGAAGCTGTGCGCTCTGCGGCAGCTGCTGGACCGAAGCAGCTCAGCTATTTCACTGCAGCTGGACATTGCTCGCAGGTTCCAGCTGCTTCCCCAGACTCTGCGCCAAGAGGGCGGTGGACTCCCGCCATTGTGTTGGCTGCCTCGCGAAAGCAGTTGCTTTTCTAGAACAGTTTGAGCCCCAGAGGCAGATGTGCTTGTGACCATCCATACCAAACTTGTATGTGGTTCAGAAGAAGTCCTGTGTGTGTGTTGCTGAGTGTGCACTCCAATGATTTAAGTTTGGTTTAGGTACCTCCTTGGACTTCCTAAAGCAAAGGAGTAAGCTGAAAGGTGTTACATTTTACTACAGCTGCGGCTTAGTTTGCTTTTAATTTCTTTTGCTATTGGTTTGAGATAACTTTCCCGCAAGTGGAATATTCCAAACACTGACCTGCAGCTGCTGGTCCTTGCTTGGCTCAGCGGACTTTGGCCCCAGCTGTGGCACACGCCGCTCTTCACATAGCTCGGCTTGCTGTTAGCCATGCGGCCTGAGCCTCCCTCTACCTCGGATCTCCGAGAAGCGGCCTTTGCTCCAGTTGCTCACGCATGCAGCACGGGCACTGTGTCAACACAGCCTGCTGTGTCACCTCAGCTCTCCTCCCCTCCACCGTCACTGCATTGTGTAATGGTGGTTAGTCACCTACTAGTGAGCAGCCAGAGAGCCTGACACCCGGCTATGCCGACACTGTAAAATATTAAACGTACTGGAGAACAGCCATGTGAAAACTTTCCACGGGCTACTCTCACTGGGCTTTGGAGTCACACATAGAAAGTTTTTCCACTGGTTGTTGAGTGGTTAGCAGGAGGAGTTCAGTCATCCAGCAATCTGCTCAAAGTGCTGTATTCTGGGGGGGGCTAGGGGGAGTGTCTTGGCATGGCAGAGGGACTTTTTTCCATAACACACTGCCTGCAGTATGATGGTAGGGCTGGTTCCCATTTGAAAGTGTCCTCAAGACCTGTTAGTCAAAACTGCTGTTGCCAGATATCCCTTGTTAGGTGGGATTTTTTACTGAGCAAGGTTGTTTCCCCTTCACTTTAATAGCCACTCTCTTTTCTGGACTCAGTCTCTATCCTGCGCACAATGAACTGCTCTGCACTGGTGCGAAATGTGCATCCGGGAGAGCCGAGATCCCCAGTCAGTATGTGATTTATTTCTAAAACTTTAAAGAGGTTAATGAGCAATAACTCTCAATTCATCAGCATGCTAGAGGCTTCAGGCTTCAGGTGAGGTTAACCTCTGACTTGTTTAAGTTTTCGGCAAGTTCTGCAGCAAAAAAAGATATGAAACTGAGGAGAAGAAGGGGACATAAGAGGGTAAAACGACTTCCCCAACACCATCCAGTAGGTCAGTGGTCAACCTGGAATAAAGTCCCCTGTATCTGCAAAGTGTCTTCTCCTTTGAATTGGTCTGGGTGTTAGAAACACCGCTCAAAGGGCTGCTCTGTCTGCAGGCGTATAAATTTTTCTCCATTGTGTCTTTTTAGGGAATGGACCTTCGGGAATCTGTCTCTCATATTTTCTGTCAGGCTATATCCCTTACTTCAAAAGAGACTGTCTTCATCCTCATCCCATTCTTCAGAGGAAACTGGAAGAGGCATCAGATGTCTCCATTTTGGACCAGGTTCGTGTGAAGAGAAACAGTATAATATCATAGTAAAGCATCCTAGGGGTGTAGGATAAGTCATAACCTCATTTGAATTGTCAAAGTACGCAGAGAGTATGAGCCTTAAGCAAAGTGCTTCTAGTTGTCCAGATCTGCCTTGTATGAAACGTCAGCGTTGCTGCTAAGATCCTTGAGGTAGTCCTTGGGAAATAACAGAGTCTGTGTGCCAGTAAATGAGCTTCACAGAACACCAAAACCACTGATATGGAAATACAGGAGTAACGAGCCATCTGCTGCCCGGCAGGACATGCATTTTGACCATCTGATCTGCCTCTCTTTAGGATTTGGAGTATCTGTCTGAAGGCTTGGAGGGACGATCCCACAGCCCTGTGGCTCTTCTGTTTGATACTCTGCAACGTCCAGACACGGACTTTGGTGGAACAGCGGAATCTGTCCTCACTTGGTGGTATGAGACTGACAGAGCCATCCCCCACCTGGTCCTTGGCAGAAACGCTCCTGGAGGTGCCTGGCATGTACGTGAATTGAAGCCTAACTGCTTAGGTCTGCGTGTTGTAAGGTGGTGGCCAAACGTGTTCGCTGGAGAGGCAAAAGCTCCTCTAATACGCCAGTCGGCCACATTTGACTTTATGTGTATAGACAAGCAAGAGTTTAAAAGGAAAAAAAGCACAAGAGGCCTTTATGTTTCCAGTCTATTGTTCTCTGGACAACACAGATGGTTTCATCCCTGACAGCAGCTGGGAGGAAATCACTGATTTCATGATCTGTACCTTATTGAAATATGACAAAATGGATTTCACTTCTCGCATTAAATAACTGAAAGTCATTTTACTGTTTCTTGTTCCAGTCTATTGAGGGCTCTATGGTTACCCTGAGCAGAGGTGAATGGATGGGACTCCCAGACCTCCCATTCAAGGACTGGCTAAAGCAAAAGGGAAGGTAAGATATCTATGATGTGATTATTTGCAAACATCTGGAGGTTATTTGGGAACCTGGAGTGGGGTAGACTTCTTGAATGTAGCTACCCATCTGTTAAGGATGATTCTAGTGCGAGAAAGGACACTCTCCCACCCCCCCAGTAAAAGTCACCAAATGCAGAACGGGTTCAGGTGAAGTTGCAGTGCTGCTTGGAAGGTGTCCTTCTCAACACCCACCGGGGAGATGGATCACAGCAACCATGAGTTCTGAATAAAGCTTGGAAAAGGCGTGGTCATCTGACTTCTGTCTACTGCTGCTGTCCCTAATGAAAAGTATAGTCAGCTTGGCTGCTGTGCAGTCTTTGAGGTGCTTCTGCTCTTGAGATGTGTAACAGTTAATCTTAAATATTCCAGGAGTTAAAAGTGGAATAGAAGCAAGATGTGAGAGGAAGGAATAAAAGAGCAACCATGTTCTTAGGGGTAGGATTCATGCTAAGGAAAGCTGCCTCTGTCCAACAGCTTGTGGACCTGAGTGTTAGCTCTATATACCAGGAAGAACTTTGCTGAAGTCAGGGAAAGTAGATTAGTGTTCTCTGGTAGTGCCAGGATGGATGGCTGTGGGATACATTCAGTGGAAGAGGGAAGAAATTCCAGTCTCTTACTTAACTGCTGTTGACCTTTGTTTGTACTACATTACAGAGGCCTCAGAAACAATAGAGCCACAGCAGGAGACATTGCTCAATATTACCAACACTATGTGATGAAGAAAGGACTGCAGAAGAATTTCAGATGTGGTACTGTTGTGACCTCTGTGAGGAAAGTGAGTGCAGAGAGCATCTCCAACCATGCACAGAAAGATCTGCGGAAGAGTAGTGACTCACTCTGGAACTTCAATGAGAAAAGTACGGAGATCTTTCAGGTGGATGGATTTTTCAAAACTGTGAAAGGTGATAAAGAGCACTTTTCCATCTACGCAGAGAATGTGGTCTTAGCTACAGGAACATATGATAGTCCTACCTGGCTTGGGGTCAAGGGAGAGAACCTGTCCTATGTCCATCACCAGCTGTCTGCCCTAGAGGAAGCAGTGAAGAGCAACAGCATCGGCATCATGTCAGATCCGGTCTTGATTGTAGGTGCTGGTCTGACAGCTGCTGATGCGATTCTCTTTGCTCACCATTGCAATATTCCAGTAATCCATGTTTTTCGGAGAAGAGTCAGTGATCCAGGTCTTATTTTTAACCAGCTCCCCAAAATGATGTACCCTGAATACCACAAAGTCCATCAGATGATGAAAGAACAGTCAGCTGCTTGTGCTGGGCCCTATGAGTGTTACGTTAGCCTTCCTGAACATCACGTGCTATCCTTTGGCAAGGACAAGAAATGTATCTTTCAAGACAAGAACGGCTACCAGAAAGTTTATAAAATTTCCATGGCTCTTGTTCTAACTGGCTCAAACCCCAACCTCTCCTTTCTGCCAAATAACGGCATTGACTTGGCAATGGACAGTGACCAACCAGTCAACCCAAAGAGGAATCCCATAGATGTTGACCCATTCACCTATGAATGCACTCAGGAGAAAGGACTTTACGCCCTAGGACCTCTAGCTGGAGATAACTTTGTGCGCTTTGTGCAGGGAGGGGCTCTGGCTGTTGCCAGCTCTCTGTTAAAGAAAGCAAACAAAAATCCCCCCTAACAAAACAAAACGAAAAATATCCCTCTGCTGGCTGCTGTTTCCTTAGAGCAGCAAGTCAGCCGATCCGTACGTCCTCAGATGTAAAGCCCACGCCAAGGTTATGCAGAGGGTGACTGAGTTCTGGCCGAGCTGTTTGGGAAGATGAATTTGGGAAATGCAGAGTGGGTTTCACACACGGCGGTACCTTCTGCCCCTGGGGATTCAGCGCCTTTCCCGCACAGCTGTGTGCGAAGGCTGCCGGGGCTTTGGATCTCATGCCTGGAGATCCAAGGGGGCAAGAACAGCGCTTGCTCTTTCATACAATACCTTCCAGGCCGCTAAAAACTGACTTGGGGAACAATCAATGTTAATTATTTCCAGACAGTAGGCTGGCAACCCTGCCTCTGTCCGTGTTTACTGTGATTTTTTGTGAAACAAAGTGAGCTGAGGTGTTTTTGTTTGCTCCTATGGCTCGGCTGGATGCTCTCGTTAGACCTGAAATCAGCCCAGGCACTGTGTGGGGTCTCTGCCGCACAGAGTATTTCAGAAAGATGCAATATGTTGTGTGAATTTCTAATGTAATGTGATTTATTTTTTTAAAGAATACTATTTGTGTAAAGGGAAAATGGCACAGTCACTTTTTGATAGTTTTATGCTATATATAGCAATTTTTTAATGCTGATTTTCTGAAATATTTTTATTGGCAAAATATTTTGTCACTGGCTTTCTGACAGTGTTTTGGATGAGGTGGGGTGGGTGGGAATGATGCCATATGCTGCAAACAGCATTCTCAACAGACCTACAGGGCCTTTCATACCTCTCACAGGAAAAATAAGAGTCATAGCTAATCTCACTTGATGTAAAGACGGACTCTGCTCCCTGTGCTGCACTGGAACTCACAGGCATGACAGGGTGTTGTAGATGGCTCTAGGAAGCTGAGTATCTGGAGACAATGGCTGTTTGTAGCTGAATCAGCCTGAAGTTCAGATGCAGAAAGAGCTTGTCTGTGGTGCTGCTGTATCACACTTGAATATTTTTGCCCCTGACTGTTCTTGTATGAAGTTTTTCAATAAAGAAATTTCAGACTTAGTCTGTGTTTCTTTTTTAACTCTGCCTTTGAATTTCTGACCTGGAGAAGATCTAATGAACTATTCTTCATCAGCTTCCTGGCAAGCGCCGGGGTGTGATTTGATGTGCCTGCTGAGTCCTACCCCATTCCTCTCCCTAGGAGCACAGCACCGGGTTTCCTTCCTGTGCATCTTCCTCTCTCCAGCAGGATGAAGAACCTTTGTGGAGCGCTTTGGCAGTGTGTGCCTCCTGGGAGACTAAAACACAATACCAAACCAAGCTATCCGCCAAGCGTGTTCTTCTCTAGGGTGTCTTAGGTCTCTTTCCTGTTACCCAGTGTCTTCTACTGTCTGGAAAAATCCTGAACTGTGGCCTAGCCCAGTAAGACAGTTTAGATCAGAAGGGACAGTTGAAGGTCTCTGGTCCACCCCACCATAACAGGGCAAGCTTTGAAGTTAGACCCAGTTGCTCAGTGCCTCGGTGGGAAAAGCTTGGAGTATCTCCCAGCAGATTGCCCTATCAACATTTGATTGCCCCATTCAACGTTGGACCACCTTTGAGAACTGTGAGGTATTTTCTTAATGAGTTGAAGTGTTTGGAGGTTTTTTTTACTGCACAGCTCGGAGCAGAGTTTGGCTCAATGTGTTAAAACACCAATCCTCATTCTTCTCTCAAGGCTGAGATTGGAGGGGTCCTCGGGGTTTTGTGGGCCCAGAGGTGTGGATGAGTTTCCCGGTCTGCGGAATTGCTCATTGGCTGGAGGGGTGGCAATGCCCTCAGGGCTTTCTTTGTCAGCACTGCCCTGAATGAGGTGGCAGTTGATCCCCTGAACCTGTTATTCTGGAAATATGGGGATTCCCAAGTATGGATAATGTGGTCCTGTGCCATCTTAGATATTTTTGGTACTCCCTAGGAGAGATGAGATGAGCTGGTACTCCTGTTGCCCCACTTCATGTTCCTTCGGACCAGGTCCCAAGCAGTGCAGGATTGTGCTGTTCCTCCCCTGCAGCTGACCTTTGCCAGGGAAAAAAAAAAAATCAATGTTCACTGTTCTAAAAATATCATTTTGGGTTAGGTCTCAAACTCCTGCATCGAAAGCAAGCGAAGCAGAGAACGAAAACCAAAGGGCATCTTAAACAAACAAGTGCCAGGGCTAAGGGTGCAGGATGAGGGTCAGGTGAAATACTGCTCTTCCCACCACTGAGGTCGAAGTCACAGCGTTTGTGCGGATCATTCCTGCATCCTGCATTGTGTTACCCTGATCGGATTTGCCGTGCGCCGGTGAGCTCCTGGCTAGGGAGCAGCCTGCACATGCGTCGGGGGAGCTTGCGTGACCATGTGTTGAACAGGCAGTTTTCCTGCCTGAGAGGGCTGAGCTGATTGCCTGCCCTGTGCCAGACCGGAAAGGGAAGTGGTTTCTCACAACTGATGCTTAGAAAATATCCCACGTTCTGCCCCGGAGGGATATTGAAGCAGAGGATCTCCGTAGCAGAGGTGGTGGTTTACTCATCAACAGCAAGTCCTCAGGGCAAGGCTGCGTGGTGCTAATCCAAGTTTATCACTCAGTTCTCCGTATCCAGGGAGACAAATATGAATAAATGTTCCAAAACATCAGCCCTGAGAGTCAACAGATACCAGCTTTGTGGTGTGTGGGGTTCACCCATGCCCTGCAACCTTGACCTGCAGCATGTGATGGGACCAGGAAAAGGAATAGTCTCCTCCTGGGCCTTCTGCACACCACGTGCCGCCGCTGGGAGTAGCGCAGCCTGGTCAGGTGAGATACTAAAAGCTTTCACCGCTGTTCCCATTGCTGCACGTGAGGCCCAGCCGCGAGGTCGCCTTGGTGAGGTAGCTGGCTTAAAATTGGAGACGACTCTGCTTCATTCCTCTGTCCCCCGAAAGTCCTTTGGTGTCCTCTCCACGCTGCCCAGTGGGAACCTTCTGCAGCCGTGGTGGCCAGAGCAGGTCAGTCTGGGAAGCCTCAAGCAACTCCCTGCTCTGCTCAGTTCAGGCAGGACAGGGCGGGTTGTTCTAATTCAGAGCTCTGGCTGCTGTGAGAGGTGGTGTTCGCCACTCCGGAACGAGGGCTCCACGGCAGACACCCACGCTCTGTCCTTCAGGGCTTTGCAGCCTCCTGCTCTTTCCTCCTTGAGCAGATCAGTCCCCGGTTTGTGTCTTTGCAGAACCAGCTATTTCAAGTTTACCAACAAGACAACAAAAGAGAATTGCCAGTGTTTTTGATGTTCTGGCGCTGGCGAGTCCCCGGCGTTGAGGCTGATGAGTTTCATACAAGCGTGGCCGGGGGTGTGGCAGAGCTGACTCTGCAAGTCCGAACGCGGGTACCTGTTCTTGTGCCTTTGACAGCGCGAACCCACAGCTGCTGCTCTTCACTGCGGTGAAGGACTGGCAAGGTGTCGGAGCATGTTTGATGTGAGCTTTTCCTTCTGAAGTGAAGGGAAGGGCACGCTCTTAGTAAAAAGAGCCGTCGTTTACGTGTCATCTTGAGTGAAACTATTCCAGTAAAACAGTCTTGGGAAATCCTTTGGTTCTTCAGCACTCACCTTTTTTGGCCACACTTCTCAAACGAACCTGCTTTATTAGTGAAATGCAGATGTTTGTGGGCAGGCCAACGCGTCGCAGCTGACTGACAGCTGCCGAGGCTGGGCTGAGCCGCTCGTACTCGGGGCGCTCGTGGGGGGTGGGTGGTGGGGTGGTCTTCTGGAAGAGGGGGTTTCAAGCTGGAACCAAGCCTGGAGGCTCCAGGGAAAACTGACTTCCAGGGCTCTGCAGTAAGCCGTGAGGGGTGGAAGCAAGCTCCTGGCTAGAGAGTGGCTGAGGGGGGTGGAAGAAAAGGGAACACAAATTTTGTTTCTGCTGCTGGCTGGATCCTGCCTTCTGCCGGAGCCTGGAAAGCCACACAGATCTGCTGTCCAGGAAGAGCTTTCTTTGCCATCCATGGGGACCGAGCCCTGAGGACCAGAAAAAAACCCTGGATCCTCTGCTGTGCAGCTTGGACCTAATAATATATCGATTTACAGGAGCCTGTCTGAGAAGAGGCAGAGCAGGCAGCTTCCATGAACTTTCCGCCAAGGCAGCAGAATGGATTTTGTTTTCCTGCCCAGTTTTCGCTGGTTGTGTTCATTTCTTGGAAGCGCTGTCGATGGTTCCGCCTGGTTTTACAGCTACGCCGCAGCGAGCTGGAAATGAGTGGCAGGAGGGGAATCCCGAGCCGGGCAGCACGCATGCACAGGCAGCGTGGCCCCGCTCCGTAACCGGCATCACAGCCAGCCAGCACACCCTGCCAGCAAGGTCCAAGCACTGTTTATTTAAGATATTTACCCCGCAGATGAATTTCCACATCTTGGTCCCACTGGAAGCAAAGGGGCTGGTGAAATTACCACAGGAACCACCTTGATGAACCGGGACGCAGCTGCAAACCGGGGTGTGTGGTTACAGCCCAGCTCTCTCTGCAGGTAAACAGAGCTGGTCTGGCCGCGGTGTTAGAGCAGAGCCAGGTCAGAGGGGGTTTGCTTGGTGAAACAGCAGCTAACTGCCAGCCGGGAATGAAGAGGCGGCTCAACAGGGGTTGTGAGCGTGTAAAGTTACTGCTGATGACAAAGTGTGGATCTGGGGGTATTATGTTGGATAAGTCTCCAAATCTGAGCTGTGTTTTCATAGCCCGCTGACCCTTTTGCCAGGGAGGCAAATTTTAACCAGCGGACAAGCAAAGGGTGGGATGAAATCATCCCTTTAATGGCAAGGAAATAGAAAACCAGAAGCGCTGTGCTTTTTATGAGACCACAGACACAGACGCAGGCCTAAAACACTCGTTCCTCCTGAGAGCTGGCCCAGCAGAGCAAACCTCATTTGCAGCTTGGCATGAACACCCTGGTTATCCAGTATTACCGTAACTCTGAGTCAGCAGAGGTCTCGGAGGCCCAGATAGCTTTCAA